AGGTAAAATTCCAGACCTTACCCAGGTAAAACCCCTGGCCTTACCCAGGTAAAATTCCAGACCTTACCCAGGCAAAACCCCTGAGCTCACCCAGGTAAAATTCCAGACCTTACCCAGGTAAAACCCCTGACCTCACCCAGGTAAAACATGTTTTCAGTCTCCCAGGTGAGCACCAACACGCTCAGCTTCTTTTTTATGAATCATTTCCCCCCTCAAAGTCTCTCTTTTGCCCCTTTTAGCCAAAGTTCTGACTCAAATTTACAGCATTTAAATCAAATTTAGCTTTGTTTCTCTTAACAAAATAACTTCCAGCTTCAGGTAGCCCATTCAGCTCGTTAAGGGCATCACCATTATTTTGTACCACGTCCTTTTATCCTCCAGATTAAAACCATTCCAAGGTTTTCACAGCACTGGAAGGGATGGATCGTGTGCCGTTACCTCGTACGGGTTTATTCTAAACCAAAAATAATTAAGGGGAAAAAACTCTAAGAGGTGAAAAACGAGATAAAACCAAAGAAATCCTTTTATAAAAGTCAGGAATAACGAGGAGGGACGTGTTTCCTACCACTCTCAGCGAGGGCAGCAGCCACTTCGTTGAGGGTGGAGTAGATGTTGCAGGCGGCCCATCGGCACTGGGCACCCAACGCTCCCAGAGTCTCCATCAGCACCTGGGAACCAAAAAACACCGGGAAGATCAACACGAGGAGCAACACACAGTTGGGGGGTTTGTTTGCTGTTCATGGGAAAGCTTCTGGGGGGGTCTCTGAAGTTGGTTTTAAGCTTCAAGGCCAGGCTGGACGGGGCTCGGAGCAACCTGGGACAGCGGGAGGTGTCACTGGACGGGCTTTAAGGTCCCTTCCCACCCAAACCATTCCATGGTTTTACGATTTTTGGGGGCCTCTGAAGCGGGTTTTAAGCTTCAAGGTCAGGTTGAACAAGGCTTTGAGCAACTTGGTCTAGAGGAAGGTGTCCCTGCCCATGGCAGGGGGTGGAACTGGATGGGCCTTAAGGCCCCTTCCAGCTCAAATCATTCCAGGATTCAGTGATTCTCTGGGACCCCTGAAGTTGGTTTTAAGCAGCATCAGGGTCGTTAGAAAGTTGCACAGAAAACAATTTTGCAGTTAATTTGCATTTGTGAAACAATTTTAAAAGGCTGACGTAAATAAGAACTTCAGAGTATATATTTTTTTATATATATATGTATGTGTAGCGATTTCACTCCGCAAAGTCCCAAATCCAGCCAGGAGTAACCACTCCTGAGGGGAATTCCCAGCTCCTCGTGCCCCCATTGACCCCCTGGGGGCTGTTGCAGGGGCTCAGCAGTGGCACAGCCCCGTGTGGGGTTTGGGGCCGGCCCTCACCGCGGTCTGGGCCGTGATGTGTGTGCAGCCCACGATCTTGGCCCCGGCCAGCGGCTTCTCCCCCTGAGCTCTCTTCCTCAGAGCCATCAGCGCGGGCATTTCTGCAGGGAGAAGGGAAAACAGGCCCATGAATGTGATGGAAAGAGGGATGAGGACAAGGACAAACAGCAGCACCACTTCTTGCCCCACTGTCTGGTGTTCCCATGAACTTGTACAGCTGGGGCAGCTTCCAAAGAGGCCAAAGCCTTGTGAGCAAGCCCAAATAAGTGAAAAGGACCCAATATCCCTCTGAATTTTCTCCCTGCTATCTCGGATGAAGCATCATCCCGTGTTCAAATTTCTACCTGCAAGTTCCCAAGTGAGGCTGGAGGAAAATCTGCTTCAGACTGAGGAGAACTTGGGACTTCCTGCCCTGCCCCTCTTTTCCCACGTCCCTCCAGTTTCCTAAACCCTTTGCTATGGACTTCCGGAGATAATCAAGCTCAAATTTATTTGATGGATTTCATCTTCTCTACCGACTTTAACAAAACATGTTGGACTGTAGAACAGCCCTTCAGGAGTTGTTTGGTTGCAGCTACTCGGCACAACCCCGAACTCCTCTCCCGTCCCACAACACCCCACCAAAGCTCTCCCATCTCTAACAGGCATCGGGAAATCACCGACACACCGAGCCTCAGAAGGGGATCTGGGGGAAGGAAGGACCCCAAAAGATGACCCAGGACGAGGTGGAGCTGGAGGGAGGTGCCCCATGTACCTTGCTCAGCGATCTCGATCTCCCGGCGCCCGAACTCGGCCTGTTTGATGTTCTTCACGCAGAAATCGCTGCTGCCTTTGGAATTCTTCTGCTGCTTGTCCCGGGGGGAGGTCTCATCGTCGGAGCTGTCCGTGTAGGAGGCAGCTGGAGGGGGGAGAGGAGGTCAGAAACAGGAGAAGACATTCCCTGGGGCCAAAGCACCCGTGGATGATCCTTGGCTGAGCGTGGCCATGGATGTGTTTCTCCATGTGCAGGTGCCACCTCCCTCCATCCTTGGCTGGGATCTGCCCTTCTCCCACAGGGACCATCTCCCCAGGCAGTTTTATCTGGGGTGAATTCCTCACTCTTATCTTCTCCAGCTTCAACACCACACCAGAGGTAATTAACAGTGCCCATGTCCTCCACGGGCTCATCTCCGTGGCCTTCTCCCATCTCTCTTCCCGAAATTCAAGCCTTTACAGCTCTAAGGGAGCCACCAAAAACACCCAGGACTGTTTGAAGTCCTTCCCAAGTTGTAATTTAAGGCAGCACAGACACAAGGCCCTATTCCATTCCAAACAGCATCCTGGTGAAGGCTGTGAGTTGATGATTATCCAGGTATGGTGGCATTCCCAGTCCTTGGATTTGCTCAGTTTGGATGCTCCTCAGTGAGGACCAGGAGCTGCTGCTTGGGAGGATCACAAGGAAACTCGTGAGGAAGAAACTCCTTCCTTGGGAGGATGACACAACACTGGCATGGACTGGCCCCAGAGGTGGTGGCTCTCCATCCCTGGGGGACTTCAGGAATGGGTTAGAGAGCCACGGATCACCTGATCCCACATGGATCATGGTTCCACGGAATCAGATTAAGCTGCTGGTTTAAGACCAGGTGTGGATGTGTCAAAAACTGTCTTCCTTTCCTATCAGTGCCCTCCAAACTCCTGGTTATGGAACTGCACTACAGCAGACATGTGGAGGTGCGTTGAAAAGCCCTTCATGGAATTAGAAATCCCCCTTTCCATTTATTTTGATTACTAAAATCACGTGTGCTTATATAAAATCACATCCATTTTCAGTTTGAGTCACGATGAATTAACCACTACTTCTGCTTCCACTTGGGATCAGCTGAGGAGATTATTTGTGCCATGTTTTCCCCTGGAATATGTCCCTACCGTGGGAAACCAAACCTCTTCCATCTTTTAGGACAGGCACCAGCAGTCAGAGCAACGTGATGAACCAGAAACCACTGCTCCTCTTCCCTTTCCAAAGGACCTTCCCAGGACCCAACTCAAAAGCCTCATTCCCTATTAAACTGCCTGGAAGTTTTACTCCAAGCCTTTACTCCCCAGATCACGTGGAACTTGTAAAATGAACCCGAGACCTGTCGTCCAACTCAGTGTTCCACAAGAGGATCTCCTTGCTTGGACAGCCTTATCCATGGCACCAAATGGTCTGTTCCAGAGGAGGATCTCTGTGGTGGAACAGCCCAATCCATGACATCACATTATCTGTTCCAGAGGAGGATCTCCATGGTGGAACAGCCTGATCCATGACATCATATTATCTGTTCCAGAGGAGGATCTCCGTGGTGGGACAGCCCAATCCATGACATCATATCACCTGTTCCAGAGGAGGGTCCCCATGGTGGAACAGCCCAATCCATGACATCATATTATCTGTTCCACAGGAGGATCTCTGTGCTGGAACAGCCCAATCCAAGACATATTGTCTATTCCAGAGGAGGATCTCCATGGTAGAACAGCCTGATCCAGAGAAGAATCTCTGTGGTGGAACAGCCCAATCCATGACATCACATTATCTGTTCCAGAGAAGAATCTCCGTGGTGGAACAGCCCAATCCATGACAGCCTGGGATGTTGGCCAGTGTCATGGATGGTTCCAAATGATGGACACCCCACACCCTGACGAGCCCTCTGTCCTCCCCAGCACCACAGGCACAGTTTCCAGGAGGGAACGCTCTACAACCCAAGGGAGTTGTTCTCCCCAGTGCTCAGGACAGATTCCCCATTTCTACCCCAGTCAGGAATTAGGCAGCAGGAAGGGTGAGGGGTTCTTACACTGTCATGGGGAGATGGTTGAACCCGTGGTCTCCACCACCCCCAGAGCTCCCAGGGAGTTTTCCAGGGGCATCCAGACCTCAAGTTGTGACTGATTCCAACAGCCTCTGTAGAGAACTTGGAGCGAAGGAAACCTCCCTCTGCCCAGAACGGCTCTGGTGGCATTTTCACCCCAAAAAAACCCCCCCAAACCAAGGAGTTAAACCCTCCACCCCACCCCGGCCGTGGGTTTGTCTTTCCTGCAGGACCCAACAAGGTGGTTCCTTTCCCTTCTGGCTCCTGTGAAGCACTTGGATGATGCCAAGGAAAAAGGCTTAGTGCGGTTCTGTCGGAGCACCAGGCTCCCCGAGACCCACACGGATCCTGAGCCGCTTACGGGGGGAATTAGGCATTGCTGGAATTCCTCTGGGAAGGCTCCATCCTCAGAGGGGTGTGAAAGGCAAGTCCAACCCTGCAAACCCCCCGCTGGAGCCCCGAATTCAGGGTGTTCACAACCCTGCAGGCCCAGGAGCCCGGATTAATAACAAAAGGGCACCTTATATAAAACCAAACTCTCGGACAGCAAGGACTCCAGAAGGGAGGATTAATTAGTTCAAGGAGGATTATTTCCTTGAAGACAGTTAATCTGGGCGGAGGTTTCTTTAAAACCAGCCATTTTTGGTTCTGGAGGCTGAAAGTAATTTTTTTTAACAAAAAAAAAAAAGCACCTTGCCTAGAGTGGCCAGATTTTCTTGTGCAGATTGTTCTTTACTGCTAAATACATATAATATATAAAAGTGTTTACAGAACTGTGGCAATTAAATGAATATCATTACTGTAATAGAACAGCATAATAATTTGTAACAGTCAGTTTTGCCTCTGCTTTTCTGTCAAACGAAAAACAAACACAGAAAGGAAAGGATTCCTGTCACCTGGAAATATCCAATTAGCTGATGGATAGGCAGCCTCCCAATTATCACCTCAACTCACCCAAAAGTGGATTAATGAAAACTCCCTGCCTGGGGTTGGCAATTCTGCAGAGCCGTGAAGCATTTTAATATAAATTATACTATTTGTATTATGTGTTTGTATCTCTGCCCAGACAGGCTGGGGACTCCAAATCCTTGGAAGTGTCCAAAGCCAGGTTGGACAGGGCTTGGAGCAACCTGGGATAGTGGGAGGTGTCCCTGCCATGGCAGGGGGTGGCACTGGGTGGGCTTTAAGGTCCCTTCCCACCCAAACCATTCCAGGATTTGTATATTATTTGCAGATGCATTGAACTCCATCCACGCGTGCCTTTTCCAACTCAGGATATTCCACGAATCCACGATTTCAAGTGGAACAACACGAAAGCAGCAGCAGGTCTCAGGCACTGTTATCCCATGGAAAAATGCTGGGGAGAAAAGGAGTGACTTGCACCCCTGTCCTAACCCAGAACAGCCCAGGTCAGAGCCTAAACTCAGCCAAGTTCAGCTTTGCTAATATTCCAGGTGAGGGTCCACTCAGAGCTGCTAAAACTGGCATCATTAAGGGCAAAAAAGGGGCAACCTGCCCCTGTCACAGCCCAAATAAAGACAAACCTTGCTGCTTCTCTATACAGCCTTCCCAAAGTTCTGCAGCAGCACGAGGATGAAGGCAGGGGCCTTGAATTCCAGCTATTCCTGTTCCAATCCCACCCACAGAAGGTGGACATGGTGTGTCACACACACTGCTGAGAGTCTGAGCATTCAAAGCTGGGCTCCTGTAAACCACCTGATCCCCCAAAACCTTTGCTGGAGCAGATAATGATCTGAATTTGGCAGAAAGGGAAAGGACAGTTTGTGAAATTGAGGTAAAATTTAAGTAAAATTGACCCAAACACCCCCTGGACTCCAGAGCAGAGCTCCCAGCTCGGTGCCCTTCCCTGGTTGGCAGCAGCAGATGTTGATAAAACACCCAAGTGTGTCCTGGGGCGAATAAATCGCTCCCAAACGGGGCAGAAAACAATTAATTTCCCCAGTGAGAAAAATCAGTCCCTTTAAATGAAGCGGAACAATCACAGAAAACTGGCGGCTCGTGGCAGATCCGGGAAAGAGACTTGGAATTCTAATTGGAAGAGGGGGATCAGCACCATTGGTTTTGTCATTCCTTGGACTTTACAGCAACTGTGACATTTTCACGTTCCACAGTGTCTCTGCTGGTTTGTCACAGAATCATGGAATGGTTTGGACTGGAAAGGAGCTTAAAGATCCTGTCGTTTCATCCCCCTGCCATGGGCAGGGACACCTCCCACCAGCCCAGGTTGCTCCAACCTGGCCTTGGACACTTCCAGGGATCCAGGGGCAGCCACAGCTTCTCTGGGAAAACTATCCCAGGGCCTGCCCACCCTCATTATTCCAGTTTTGATGGGCAGGAAGAGCAAGAACCCACAGCTGTTTGCACACCCATCCTTGCATCACTGCAACAGCACTGGCACTGCCCTAGAATTTTGGACCAGGATGCTGGAAAACTGCCTTCCCAGAAGGTCTCAGGGAAGAGTTGCTTGGTTTAGGGTCAGTTTTTCCCCCATGCCCATCACCTCCAAACCTTGAGACCTCCCTGCACTTCGTGGGTGTCCAGGGAAGGGAAGGGAGCTGGGGAAGGGTCTGGAGCAGCAGGAGGGGCTGAGGGAGCTGGGGGGGCTCATCCTGGAGCAAAGGAGGCTCAGGGGGGACCTTCTGGCTCTGCAAGTCCCTGCCAGGAGGGGGGAGCCGGGGGGGTCGGGTTCTGCTGCCAGGGAACAAGGGACAGGCCAAGGGGAAACGGCCTCAGGCTGGGCCAGGGGAGGGGCAGGTTGGATATTTGGGAAAATTCCTTCCTGGAAAGGGCTGTCCAGCCCTGGCACAGCTGCCCAGGGCAGGGGGGAGTCCCCATCCCTGGTGGGATTTCCAAGCCCTGTGGATGTGGCACTTGGAGACGTGGTTCAGTGGTGGCCTTGGCAGAGCTGGGAGATGTTTGGACTCGATGTCTCCGAGGGCTTTTCCAACCTAAGCAATTCTGTGACTCTTCCCCTCCATCATCACCTCTCTTCTCCTCATGCTTCTTCTTTTCCAGCCTTTTCCCATCCCAGAAGAACTTAACGGGTAGTTCAGACTGTGCTACTGTTCAGTCTGAGAAGGGGAACAACAAAGACCAAGATGTTCCAATGGGATTTATCCCTCCATCCTGCAGCCACCCTGGGAACTCAAGTCTTCCATCCTGGCTGCCAACCTCCCGCTTCCAGGAGGAGGGAAATTCAGTATTCCCACAAGCTCATTAATTGACCCTGCCGATGCTTTAGCAGGAGATGGTGACTGCAAGGAGCACTGGGGAATCCCCCAAAGGTATTCCAAGTTCTTCCAGCTGTGAACCAGGAGAGAACACGATGACCCAGGCCAGGCCAAGCAGAACAACAAGTTCTTCAAAAACAACAGTCACAAAACACTCCCTGGTGCTCAGGGATTGGATGGAGCTGTGGATTCCAAAGTGGGAACAGAGCCTGGGCTGATGCCTCCCTCTGGAAAGGACAGCATGGTCCTGTCCCCTCATCTCCAATATCCTCAGGATCAGGGAAATGAGTGGAGAAACACAAAGGAGGGTTTCCATGCAGGAGTTCAGGAGGAGCTCTGGCCACCAGCCAGGTCTGTGGCAGTGCCTCTGAGCCATCGGCCAGGAGTTGGATGTTGAGTTTCCAGAGGCTTTTACACTTAATTAAACCAGAGCTTTAAACCTCTCACCGGGTTGGATGAGGTTTGGAGCAACCTGGGATAGTGGAAGGTGTCCCTGGCTTGGAATGGGATGACCTTTCAGGTCCCTTCCATGCCAAACCATTCCATGTTTCCATGAAACTACCCAATATCTACCCAGGCTCTCCTCAAACCCGCTGTGACCTGCCAAATATCCCAAAAACACATCCAGAGAGTTTCACTGCTCAGACTCCAGCAAGAAAAACACCTTCAAAAGGGCCCTCAAAGGTCCTCACTGCTCTTTCAAAGACTCCAATCCCATGTGCAACAGGTAAATCCAAACCTACAGCGGGATCCACATGGATTTGTTCAAGAACAGGAAGGGAAGCATGAATAGAATGGAGAAACATTGTTTTGCTGAGCCTGGAAGGAAAAGGAAGGGGGAGAGAGGAGGGAAGGCAGCAGGAACTGCACATGAGGGCTATAAGGAGAGATGGGAAGCCTTAAGAGCATCAGAATGACTTGATTTTCCATCCAACCACACGCGAGGATGAGGAAAAAAAGCAACAACCCTCTTTCCACACCTCCCCTCCCCACAGTACCGACCCCCCAGCAGATCTGGGAGATCCCTGAGGGAAAGACAGGACAAAACCCCGGGGTGTGCAGAGGCTGGAGAGCTGCCCCCCTCACCTGAGCTGTAGCTGTCCGTGGAGGACTGCGAGATGGAGCGGGACAGGGAGCGGCGGCCGATCTTGGACGGGCGCTTGTTGAACTCCTGCTTTTGGTCGGCAAACTGGATCTGTGGGGAGAAACCAGGGAGCTGAGTCAGACCCGGAACACCCAGCAGGAGATTAACCCCAGGAACCCAGAGCCTCGAGCAGACACCGACACCGTCCCAGCTCCGGGCTGGACCACAGTTCCTGTTGTTTGATGGGGACAGGACACGTTAAATTCCCTGTTTGGTTTAATTCCAGACCCTCCAGCAGGGATTAGAGATGTCACTCCAACCCACCCCTTTGGAGAACACAAGTATTTAAGAATATTATATTAAGAGCACACAACTTCACCCGACAAATCAAGGAATTCGGGATAAGCCATTAAATCCAAGCAATTCTCCAGGCTGGAGAGCTGGATTTCTCAGGAATGTCCACAAGGAGCTGCAGCAATGGATTAACACCAATATTTGGTGGTGTTTTGCTCAGTGAAGAGTTAAAACCTGTTTCCATCTCTATCACCACCAAGGAATGAAGATTTCAGATTCCCCCAAGACCCTGAGCACAAGAGATAAATATTTAAGCCAGCCAGGCTGATCTGCTCCAAGCACACCAGGACAGAAGGGATAAGCAAATTTCCCATTTTTTAACAGGGAAATGACATTTAACCCTGGTATTCACAGAGGAATCGTTTTCTCTGGGCTTGGTTTTCCTCCAGCCTTTGGTTGACAAGAACAGCAAAGAGGAACAAGCAATCAGTATTCCTTTATTTCCTCAAATCCAGGATTTCCCACGAGCCAAATATCTGCTCTTTTAGGTGATTTCGGGGATTTTAGAGCAGAGACTCAGCCCTCCTGTGTCCTTGATGTGCACCTGGGGTTGGACCTGTCTTCACTCTTCCCTGCTCACATCAGCACCAACTCCACGGGGCTTCACGAGCATCACATACCTCAACATCCCTTTTAGTTCATGGAATCCTGGAATGGTTTGGGTTGGAAAAACCTTAAACCTCATCCAGTGCCACCCCTGCCATGGGCAGGGACACCTTCCACTGGCCCAGGTTGCTCCAACCTGGCCTTGGACACTTCCAGGGATCCAGGGGCAGCCACAGCTTCTCTGGGCAACCTGTGCCAGGGCCTCCCCACCCTCAGAGCCAGGAATTCCTTCCCAGTATTCCATCTAAACCCACCCTCTTCCAGTTTTCTCTGTATGTGGCTACTGGGCCATATTCAAACATACCCTAAAACTTAGAGTTTGAGGAGATATTTCCACTCCTGGCACTCATCCCTTCCTGAGCCAAGCCTTGATGCCCCCACTACATCCACGATTCCCGTTAAATCTCAGGGAAATTGGAATCACGACTTCCAGTCACTTGGACTTTGCTCCGAGCATGAACTGACTCGTTCTGGTGCAACGAGGGTCAAATATTTACATCTCCAAATTACTGAAACCCATTAACTTGGGCCTATTAATGAGCCCCTCAGGGTTTCCTGAGAAGTTCTGCAGTTGTTTCAAGGAGTCATTTCAGCAGAAGGAACTGGACCCTGTTCTGGGAATTCCAACTCGAGCTCAGTGGTTTAAGTGGCAGCACTTGAGCTGGGAGGAGAGGGGAGGGGAAGGAGCTGGGAGAGGATTTGCAGCAGCACCTGGGAGGTTTTTTCCCCTGCTAATCTTAAACCAACCAACAGAATGACATCGGATCAGGAAACACACACGGGAGGGGAAAAAACCAGGACAAACTCATGTTCCAGCCAGAGCCCCAAGGAGGATTAACACCCCGAGCCCGGCAGGACGGGGGCTGTGCACACACACACCTTTATGTGCCTTCTCTAAGAAGCTGCTGGCCTGAAATAACATCCTTTTTTTTTTTTTTTCTCCCCTTTTTATTCCATTAATTTAAAACAAATCCCCCCCCACGGCTGAGCAGCTCCATCAAAGCATCGGGTTGTCGGTGTGAAACGACGCTGGGATGGGCTGGGATTCCAACCAAGGGGGAATAATTTGTACTGGAATTAACATTTCCCTTCAAGGACACTCAATGTGACTGTTCCAGGCAATGCACCAATATTGGTAACCTGGAGCTCTCTGAGCCCTTCCACATCCAAAACCAAGTATGAGACTAAGTAAAGTCAGTCCTGAACCACACCAGGCAGAACCAGAACTAGGCTTTATAATAAGCCCTGCCCTCCACCCCCTTCAGGGTTTAAACCCTTTAAACTACCAGATGGGTTTAGTTTTACCTGAGCAAGGAACTGACCCCCCAAGAGGTTGAAGGAAGCTCCAGGAAAGGAAAATGTTGGGAAGGGGCCAGGCCAAGGCTCAGATCTGCTTTTACCTTGCGTCGACCAACATCCTTTGAGCAACAGGGGGAGCGGGCAAGAAGGGCTGCTGGAATTCCATAGAACCATGGAATGGCTTGGGTTGGAAGGGATATTAAAGATCATCTCGTTCCAGCCCCCTGCCATGGGCAGGGACATCTTCCACTAGACCAGGCTGCTCTAATCCCAAGCAATCCCATGAGGCAAGACAGCACAATGCGCCGGGGACGGGGGACATCCAAGATGGGGATGGATGAGAACAGTGATTTGGTTCCAGCCTGAGCTCATCCAGCTCACACCAAAACACCCCTGAAGGCAACAGCCACCCCTGCACAGGCTGGAGCTCCAAGGAGAAGCTCTGAAGCCTCTGAGAGCTGCAGCTCCTTGGATTTAGGAGCCCAACCTGCTCCCAAGGCGCCGCTGCTTTCAACTTCCAGCAGGAAAAACCAATTCAAGCTGGAAAACCTCCCTGCCAGATGTGCAAGGCCAATGACTCCTAAGATCAGGTGTGTGCTCACCACATTTCAAATGAGCCAGGTCTCACTTCCACCCGGGGTTCCTGCCACAAAACTGTGCTCCTTCACCCAGAAAAACCACTCTCGTCATCCAAGGTTTTCCTGGAGAATCTCCCTGCTCTCAACCCCATCTCCTCCTCCATCGCAGTGCTCCGAGGAACAACCCCAGAGACGTGTTTGGCTCAACTCCATCACTGAAACCTGCTCCCAAGAGAAAATGGAAAGAAATTCTCCGGAGATCGGGATTTTCCCTGAGCAGTCGGCTCCAGAAATGAACGACCGGGGTGTGTGTGTGGGGGGGGGAACAGCAAGGAAAGGAGGAGGAAAAGAGAGGAAAAACCACGAATAGAAAAACGCAGTTCTGGTGCTGAAGAGTGCCCTCACCTGGGCTTTGATCCCCGAGTCCCCGTTGACATTGTACTTCTTCTTGTTGGGCATGGCAGTGTCCCCGCCGGCCCCGCGCTCCGCGTCCCTCCGGAGCCGGGAATGCCCCCCATTTATACCTCCCCATCCCGCTCCGGTGTCAGCTGCGGGGTGGAGGCACAGGGAGAGGGAGGGAGGGAGGGAGGAGAGGAGGGAAAGGGGGAACCGCTGGCATTTTCAGACTCCCTCTTTTTTTTTTTTTTTTCCCTTTGGCAGGGAAGGACCCCGAGACTTAATGAGGCGTCCCGGCAAACAAGCCCCGCTTGTGTTCCGCGGGGAATTACAGCGGTTCCCGACCTCCAGACAGTTGGCGGCCGGTTTGAACGTGGCCTGGCTTGTGTGTGCATAACAATGCCTTATTTATGTAACCAGTACAGTTCCCTGCTCGCTATAATTAACTTGCTAATTAAGCTCTTTTAACTCGGGTTCTCCCCCCCCTCCGTTTTCTCCCCCCCCCCCTTCCAATGTCAGATGGTTTCGTTAATGGAGCCTCATTAGAAGAAAATTAACTAATGAGCAACTAAAACAAGGCAGGCATTTGGTACGTGGCAAAGTGGTTTTTAATTGTGTGGGTCCTCGCTCTGCCCCCCACGGCTGCAAGTGCACAGTTTGTCCTTGGAAGGGTCCACACTCCCACTCCACACTCCCACTCCCATCCCACTGTTCCCGCACCAGACCTTTCCTTTTAGGATCATGGAATGGGTTGGGTTGGAAGGGACCTTAAAGCCCGTCCAGTGCCACCCCTGCCATGGGCAGGGACACCTTCCACTGGCCCAGGTTGCTCCAACCTGGCCTTGGACACTTCCAGGGATCCAGGGGCAGCCACAGCTTCTCTGGGCAACCTGGGCCAGGGCCTCCCTACCCTCCTTTTTCCCATTATTTCTTCCTTATATCTGGTCTCTTCTACCTTGCAGGTTCCTACTGCAGCAGGAAAAGGGCAGTGGATGGAGCAGACCCGCTGCAGGACAATTCCTTTAACTGAGTGGCTGGAGTTGTTATCCAGAGATTTTTGTCCCTGGCAAGGTACCAAGGACAACCCCCATAAAGAACCTCAACATCCTGCCCAGAGGAGCTGTGGCTGCCCCTGGATCCCTGGAAGTATCCAAGGCCAGGTTGGAGCAACCTGGGATAGCGGGAGGTGTCCCTGCCCGTGGCAGGGGGTGGCACTGGATGGGCTTTAAGGCCCCTTCCCACCCAAACCATTCCATGATCTGCTTCCAAAGGAGAGGGAGCTGGGAAGCACTGGGGCATCATGGATTGACCTCAACACCACTTCTGACTGACTGGGACACCAAAGCTCCCCCAGCTCCATTTAGGATCCCAAACACCTGATTTACAGCTGATTTACCACTGACCTGACCTAATCTTGCTCCTCAACAACTGCCACACTTGTCCAGAGGATGGTTCACCCTTGCCAAGGAAAACTGATTCCAAGCGGCTCCTCCAAAGAGTTCCTGCAGAGCAGGACATGCCATGATGGCATTTTCCACCTCCCTGGCAAATTTCAAGGAATCTACTAAAAGGATAAGAATTCCCAGGCTCTATGAAAGCAACACCTGCTTTGTGGGGGGAAATCCCCTCCCAGAATTCCTTAGTTATAGAATAACTGAAAAACAGAAATATGGAATATTTCCAGTGTGGAAGCGTCAGGGAATCTGAAGCTGGGATCAGCACCACCTGCTTCAACTGACACTCAGGTCAATGTCGTGTTGTCAAGGCAAATTTTTAATTTGGACCATTATTGGCGACCCTTTTCCTGCAAAATCCCACGGGAGACACTTCAGTAAATTGGTTAAAAGCCCTTCAAGGGGGTACAAAGCCCATCTTGAT